AGAAGAAGATGAGTAGTGATAGGGCTGAGAAATTTACTGCAACACTAAAGTATGACCATGTCATTTTTATCTATTTCTTTTTAAAAGATAAAAATAAAAAGTAAATAATAAAGATAGTATTTAATTAATTGAAATAATAAAATAAATATAAGAAAAGTATTTAAAAAAATTACAACAATTAATAGTTAAGAATAATTGAGGAGTATTTCATCGAAGGATTAAATACCAAGTTTTAGTATGAGTTTGATCATGCGATATCATATTACGATATATAATCAGCGTTTGAATATGTGATGTTGCGCTAGTTCCATTTCAAGATTCCATATCATGAGCTGGGATTTCATATTCTCCAAAGACCATGATATGGAAATCATATGAGAATATCATATCATGATTTGAGATATTTTTAATACAAAAATTGATTCATAAGTTTATATTTTGTTAAAACAACCTCACAGTTATATCTCATAACCATTTATTTCATATGTAAATAAAATTTATAATCATACCATTAGTTTTATAAATTTATTTTTCTCACCGACATAAAATTTATTATTGAGTTTAAGTGACTATGTGTTGGTGAGAATAACAAAATTTATGTCGGTGAAAATAATAAATTTTAAAAAGTAATGATGTGATTTTTTAAATTTTATTTACATATGAGATAAATGGTTAGTATATATAAATGTTGAATGTGCGGTTATGATTTTAATTGCTCCACCACGCACAAAGATGAACTTCCAAATAAGGTTTGAATGAATGTTAGATTTTCTAACATTAGGGGGAGAGATGATTGACAGCTGAAAATTATGTGTGAGGTTAATTATGAATTATCTAGATCCTCGTTAAATAAATATGTGAACTTAAAGTTCAAAGGATAATTCAGTTGCATAATGTTGCAAATCAGTTGCCAGATAAATGCACTGACCCTATGATATAATTCAGCTGCAAATGCTCCAACGTGAAGTCCTTGATGGACAGAGTCTATGATACGCCGGAAGCGTAATAGACCAATCGATTCCAAATATAAAATTCCTTGAAGAAGGAAGGAGCAAATGATCAATATGATCATGATAATGAGGCAAGTGCTATAAAGGAGCACATTGACATAACACTTCATAAAATCTTGAAAAAGGTTCAGGTCCCTGAAATAATGAAAAATGAAGAGATCTCGATAAGTTATGTTTTGTTAGAATCGATATCAAATAAACGTCGACGGTATCTTTGATATGAGGTAGCGCTCAATGATATAAATTGTGACGAGGGTCTTGAATTCAAATCTGTCATATAGTGTGGACAGATAAATGGTTGGCCAAGTAAAATGCACAATTCAAGCATATTTTGTTTCACTTAGAAAAGTGACATTTTGGACCAGTAATCCAAAAATCAAGGTATAATGTCAGTGGGGAACAAATAAATTATTATGCGATAGTATAACCATAAGATATCAAATTCGGTTTGTGCCTTGGGGCATAAAGGTTTATTGCAAAAATCCTGACATTATTGGAGATGTTTTCTCCTTTGGTGGATGCAATGAGGTTTGTTTTGATCTGGCAACATATGAAAAACTTGAATGCATGTAATCAACAATTGTAATGTCTAGCTAGACAATGAAAGTTATATGAAAATCCTTGAAACAATCGAGGTGTCTGAAGCACATAAGAGTTTGAAAAAAACTTTTTCAATAAAGCTTCAAAAATCCTTATATGGATTGAAATAGTCAAGGAAGGAAAAGGGTACAAAACAATGACCCTAATTGTCCTTGTATTTTTATGAAAAGGTCTTGGTAAGATAAAATTTTGTCTTGACCTACAGATTGATAATTTAACAAATAAAATATTTGTCTAACAGTGCACATACACTGAAAAGTTTTGATGCAATTTTATATGGACAAATCGCATTCATTGAGTACCCCAATGATTATGAGATCACTTGACATAAATGATGATTTAGTTTGATCTCAAAAGAAGGATGAAGAGTTTCTTGGTGATGAAACTCTATCTTTGTGCAATCAGGGCACTAGTGCATTTTACTAACAATATTTGACCACATATTTGTTTTGCAGTAAATTTACTGGCAAGATTCAGCTTCTCCCCGATAAAAGGACATTGAAATGGTGTTGAGCACATCATTGAATATCCTCGAAGGACCATAGTTATGAGTTTATTCTATTCCGAGAAATCCAAGACAAATTGATTGGTTACGCAGATGAAGAATATTTATTTGATCCGCATAAAGCTCTATCTCAAGCATGCTATGTATTTGCATGTGGAGGCACAATAATATCCTGGCGATCAATGAAGCAAATGTTCCTATGCAGAAATAAAAGTCCTCCATGAAGCAAGTCGAAAGTGCATCTGGTTGAGATAAATGACACACCATATTCAAGAAATATGTGGTTTTTCTTTGAAAAAGAATATACCAACCACAATGTACGAAGATTGGAAACATCATCACAAGAAATTAAGTGATGTTTTAATCATGGGAGAATAATACGCGTTGCACTCTTTTTCCCTTGACCGAATTTTTTTCCCACTGGATTTTCCTGGCAAGGTTTTTAATGAGGCAACAAATAGTGCGTATCAAAAAATATGTGTACTCTTTTTCCTTCACTAGAATATTTTCCCACAGGGTTTTTTCTAGTAAGGTTTTAACGAGGCACATTATCTATGGACATCCAAGGTGGAGTGTTATAAATTCATTGAATGAGTGGATAGTCCATAAGGTTAGTACATGAACAACCATCCATATTCACTAGATTCATGAACCGTTTTGGATAAGAATGCATCTATTTATTGTGATACTTAATATGGTGACTTTTGGAGTGATTTCTCACTCTATAAATAGGATTGTTCGTTCACTATTGTAGGACATACAGACGAGACTTACATACACTTGAATAAGAAGGAAATTTCTCTTCTTCTATCTACTTCTCTTGTCTTCTTCTCTTTATGATTCTATTCTTATGAGCTTGATTTTATAACAAGATCGTATTTAATTAATTGAAATATAAAATAAATATAAGAAAACTAATAAAAAAATTACAACAATTCATAGTGAAGAATAATTGAGGAGTATTTCATTGAAGAATTAAATACGTATTTCAAGATATCAAGTTTTAGTATGCGTTTGATCATGCGATATCATATTACGATATATAATCAGCGTTTGAATATGTGATTTTGTGCTAGTTCCATCTCAAGATTTCATATCATGAGCTGGGATTTCATATTCTTCAAAGACCGTGATATGGAATCATATGATGATTTGAGATATTTTTAATACAAAAATTGATCCATAAGTTTATATTTTGTTAAAACAACCTCACATTTATATCTCATAATCACTTATTTCATATGTAAATACAATTTATAATCATACCATTAGTTTTAAAAATTTATTTTTCTCACCGACATAAAATTTATTATTGAGTTAAAGTGATTATGTGTTGGTGAGAATAATAAAATTTATGTAAGTGAAAATAATAAATTTTAAAAAGTAATGATGTGATTTTAAATTTTATTTACAAGTGATATAAATTGTTAGTATATATAAATGTGGTGTTATTTTAACAAAATATAAATTTGTGGATCAATTTTTGTATTAAATATCTCAAATCATGATATGATTCTCATATGATTCCATATCATTTTTTTGGAGAATATGAAATCACATCTCATGAGATGGAATCAGCGTAAAAACGCATGTCCAAACACCTACTTACCATAGAAAAAGACATGTACTTCTCTCTTTCCTTAAAGAAAGACACATACTCTCTTTTCCCCTTAGAATAGATTTGAGTTCTAGTTAAATATGAACATAGTATGGACCACATAATTAGTTGATGAGGCTTCCTATTATTGAAAATGATTTCAAATTATTAAATTGAATTACTTATCATGATAAATTATAAATCATTCCACTAGAAATTCGTAATTGTACTTTTATTTTGAAATTTCCATTTAACACATGTAATTTCCCATGTTAAGATTATAGATATTAATCAAAAAATAAAATTACTGACGAATTTAATTCATACAACTAGTTTCCTCTAGAGCATTGATTAACTTATTTCATGTGTCGAATTCATAAATTCACTTGTAAAGTTTGACACGATGAAAACTTATAAGTTTTTTAAAAAAGGCATATGATCAAATCCCTATATCGAGACATGGATTCAATCAACTAACCTATTATTTCACCAATATATATTATTATCGTCCAATCTACCGCGCATATTGACTCATCTCAAAATCTCACCTTTTAATAAATCAAAACGATAATTAACATATATAGATCATAATAGTTATATCAGGATTTAAGAATATACGTACATTTAATAGTTCAGAAAATATACTTTTTTCAATCAGTCTAAAATAACTATCTCTACTCGATCCCTTTCAATACAAACAAATTGCACTAACACAAGAAGCTGTGAAACTGTATCATTCCATAATCAAGATAAACTACATATAATCTTGATCATTTTTGTGCTACAATTGTAACATGTCCAAATTTCATCTTAGATTGTGAAAAAAAAAATATATTTATAAGAATCGATGATTAATTCCCTGTGTATAAGTTTAAACTCTATGCACTAAATCATCTACCATTAAAGTAAACATACACTATAAACGAATATATAATCTATTAAAATTGAATAAATAATTATTCTATAATAAATATTATATCAAACATATGATTAATAGTATATATCCCAGAAGAAGGCATTAAGGGATATTGATTCCGAATGTATGACCACCGTTCAAACCAACTGAATAATCACGAAAGACGAATTTCTTATTTTTGTCCCATTTTTACTTTCTTGATCCACTATTAGTTTCGCTACAAGAAAATTTACAAGTCATGTTTTCCTTTTGGAATTTGGTACATATATGACGTGCCTTCAATAGAAATAGAAAGAACCAAATCAAAGGTATGTGATACGCATAACCTAACTAATCCTCACAACTCTACAAAGAATATATCTTTATCACTTTTCCTTTTCCTACAAAACATAACAAATCCAAATTCCAATAATTACTTTTTCTTTAACTTTCCAAAAATGGAATCCATTGGATCTAGTTCCACCGCTTCCAACAACCACCACCACCACCCCCATCGCCGCCATTTGATGCCAACACAACCACTCGCGGACAGAATTATCCGTGCAGTAAGCCACCATCTCCGCCTCCTCCACCATTATGACACCACTTTCTTTATCTTAGGTGCAACCGGTAATGTATACACTGTTAATCTCTCCACCACCCCATCATGCAGTTGCCCTGATCGAACCGCCCCATGTAAACACATACTATTCGTGTTCATCCGTGTATTGGGTGTCTCAGTTGATGACATGTGTCTTCTCCGGCGAACTCTTAGGCCATGCGAGCTCCAACGCCTTCTTAGCTTACCTATATCAACTGAATCACTAGCAAACCCTAATGTTCGAGAAAGGTTAGACATGCACGAGCACAACTTTTAATTATTTAATTATATTATGTCTCAACAGGTCTATTACGATGATGTCTACGTTCATGGACCAAATATGCCAATGTTAGTTCTTTTGAAGTGAAATTTATCAACTTTAGGACCTATATTGTCTGTTTTAATTAATTAAAGGGTAGTCGAGTGCACAAAACATGCATTTTGTGGTCATGAAGGGTTTCGGGGAATGATTACACATAAAGGCAGGGTGCAAAGGCAAGCAATTTGTCCTGACGCAAAAATCAATGGCTAATTTCCGGACTCGAACAAAAAACATATGAATATTCATATGAAATTGCCTCATCAACAACATTTTCCACAGACTTCCCATCGAAAATCCCATATTTTATCTGTTCTAATATCATATCAAGTTATAGTATGTGATCATAATATTAAAAATGAATAGCATATATATAGTTTTAGTTATTTAATTATATTATGTCTCAACAGGTTCCACCAGTTATTTTTTCAAGAACGGTCAAAAAGTTCAGTTTTGAAAATAGAGATAGAGAAGGGTGTAACATGTCCTATATGTTTGGAAGAAATGAACAAGGAAGAAAGAGTGGGAATTTGCGGTACTTGTAAGAATCCATTACATGAAGAATGTTTGATGGCATGGAAGAGAAGTAACAGAAGGAGATCAATGAAGTGTGTGATATGCAGAGCAAAATGGAGGGATTTGAGGGCTAATTGTGAGCAACAAGACAAGTATTTGAATTTATCTGCTTATGATGATGACATGCAAGTGGAAGATAGGCAAAGTCATTGTGGGAGTTAGCTAGGTCCCTTTCCATAATTATTTTAGGGTTTCATGATCACTTGTAATTAATGTTTGTGTTAATTATATATAACTACAAAAGTATGTACATATATATTCAAGGCTAAAGACATTTTAAATTTGGTGTGTTAGTATGATTTTAGTAAGTAGTTAATTCTACTTACCTGAAACCTTATATTCAATCTTAATTACCATAAAATGATTTTAAATTATTGTATCCAATCAACTATATTTCTTGGTGTCCTTATGCCATATTCACACATTAATTGAATAACGAAAAAATTTATTCGCATTGGTTGTTTACATCACATTAATGTAATTTTTATTATTATGTGATTTAATAGAGTAAAATACATATTAATTAATTAAAGCTAAGTGAAATGAATAATAAATTTAAACACATGACATACATGTATTGAATTGATATAAACATTCGGTACAGATAAGTTTTTTCCATTAAATAATATTCTAAATTCGTTAATTCCCATGTCAGTATCATGTACTTTCACAAAATTACATCATTTCATATGGTTGGAAATTAGTTATTCCAAAATTATGGACTTAGTTATTCTAGGATAACTTATTTATCACTATGTTATAAATGGTGGGATAAGTTATCCCAAACAAGACATCTAAATATTCCCTCCGTCCACTATTGTTTGTTGTGGTTTCTCTTTTTAGAATCAAACTATAAGAGTTTTGACTAACATTTTGAGAAGCAAGAAATTGCAATTTATAATACTTTTCATGTTGTTTTTTAATATCTAAATTTTTTGTTTAAACTATCAAATTAAAGTAATTTAATTTAACTTTGAGAATTAATCAAATTAACTTTCAAAAAACGTAACATTACAAATAAAAATGGACGAATGAGGTACGTCTCAAGACTATTTTATTTTTATCCCAAGATTATTTATTCTTATCCCTCACATCAAACGAGCTTCTTTTATCTTCTCCTCTTTATTTATTTTAAAGCAAATAAAATTATTCAAAACATTCTTCTGTGTAGACTCAAATCTGAAACATCTATTAAAATTAAATTGGTGTTATCACTCTACCATAATCCTATAAAAATCATTTAAAAATATTACATATTCCACATATATAAAATAATCTGTTTATTTCAATGGTTATCCTGCGTCTATTTTAGTGCGTTTCAAAACAATTTAATAACTTCTTTCTATTTTAATTTTTGAAGTGAAATATTAAAAATCATAAAATTAAAATAAAGTGAGTCCCATATTTGGAAGTATGGGAGTAACAAATCATTGCTCAAAAATCAGAGATAAATATCTGCGAGTAAAATACCTGTTGAGCAGAAGAAAATGGCGGAGGAAGTGGAATCATCAGAATCAGGATCCGGCAACTTGTTCAACAAAATCATAGCACTTGCCGCCGGCGAAGCTCATACTCTTGCTCTAACTGGTAAACAAACATCTTTTCAACTTACCCTTTTATTCTTAAACCAATATTATCTCAAAATTAAATTATTTTTTCTTGCGAATGGTAGCAAATGGGGATGTGTATTCTTGGGGAAGAGGAACATTCGGTCGACTTGGTACTGCTTCTGAAACTGACCACTTATTCCCGGCCCGAATCAACTTTGATTCTGATGGAGATAAAAGGGTAAAGATTGTTGCTATTGCAGCTGGTGCTTATCACAGTCTTGCCGTTTCAGGTTAACTATTTGAAATGATTTCAATTTGTTCCAACTTTTTTTTTTTACAAAAAATTATTTGATTGGAAAATGAAATGTTGAAGTTTATCTATGTGGAAGTGTAATCTAGGGCGGGCTATACCCATTTCATTTGTCACTAGATTGAAATTGATTTTTCTTGTTGCTTCTAGATATGAAGCTACGGGATTGGATTTTTGTGTTCTCTTTCAGAATTGTAATTCATTTGCTCTATGAAATGTGTAGTGGTGGATCTATAATTTAGATGATGTTGGTTCTGAATTAAGATTATGGTTTTGAAATTTACATAGTTTTATCTGTACTTGCTTTTAACACACACATACATGTATAATTTAGACGATGTTGTGAGTTTTACCATAGTTTTATCTGTACTTGCTTTTAACACACACATACATGTATAATTTAGACGATGTTGTGAGTTTTACCAAACACGGGGCATAGTTATTATGGCCTTGTGTTACCAGTTACCACAACTCAATAATCTATTAGCGCATCAGAGTTGGTGCTCTTCCATAAATGATATAGCAGTTTGGAAAACTGCATCGATGAAAGTATTGTGTTTTATCTTCCACTGTACCATTTATTAGCAAATTTCTCAATAGAGTCCTTAATATTACTCACAGTTTCTCATTTAATGGGAAACATCCCTTTTTAATCTGTCCCAAAAAGAAATGATACATCTCTTTTTTGAAACTACTTAATCTTAGCAATCCTGTAATGAAAAGGCACTGAGAATTCTCACCTCCACTCATTTAAAATGATATTATTGGCATATATTTATCATGTCAAAAGTCTTCTTTAATTTTTTAAACTCTGTCCAGTGAAACACTATAACATAAATTGAGACAAAGGGAGAAGTATTATAGTTTCAAGGTTTCTACCATGAATTAGGCTGATAGCTGCTAATTCACTCATGAACAAACTGAAACGATCTACGTATAAAGTAAGTTGACATGACCTATGGGTTGTGGAGGATTCAACAGAGTTCACTCTTCTTTTAAGACTCAAATAAGCTAAGTTTATCCTAGCCAAATGAATAGAGGGTGATTCAAAATGATGTCATGCCATTCTGAAGATAAGGTGATCTTAATTGGAGTAACACCAAAGGGTGCTTCCTGTCATGTTTCGAATGACGGGAGCAGTTCAGGGAAAAGAAATCAGGAAACAGAATTTTCGGCTCTCAAGGGTATTGCTGTTTGAAATGATTTGCTTTCATTCTTTTCTTCAACTACGGGCATGTAAGACCTCTGTGAACGTTCATCAGTAATACAGTAGGGGATTGAAAGCATTTATATTTTAAGACAATTTTCTCAGAGCACTATGCCCTCATCTTCTGATTATTTGCTTGCTTTATGCCTTTAACCAAGATGCTAAAATAATGGTACCATGAGGTTTGTTCTTATATGTGAATGTGTAACAATAACATTCAGGTAGTTGCAATTTTTGGCTTATTAAGAATGCTGATACTAAGAAGAGCAACAGTGCTGTTTACAAGGAAAAGTGTTAATTATCTTGAACTCCCAGGCACTGTTTCCCTTCCTCTTTATTTGACTTTCTTTGTTTTCACAGATGATGGATCAGTATGGGGCTGGGGATACAATGTCTGTATCCTTTGAGAGATTCCTTGAGTTATACGTTTAGTATTATTTGCTTGAACTTATTGACTTTGTAATTGTCTTGTGCATGTGCTATTAATTATTCTTTTCCTTGACTACCTTGTGGATGGACAACTTGGTTTTGACGGAGAAAATTCCTTGGTTCCTCATTTATTGGAGGGATTCCTTGAGTTAGGTTCCCCTAATTCATCAGCTAGTGGCTCAGAGAGAAAGAAACTGATGGTACGAACAAGTTGAAATTAGTGAGGAAATAGGTTGAAATTCAAGGGCTAATTCTGTTTTCTCCTGTAGATTTCCTCGGTTAAAGGTGGTGGAATGATGTCAGCAGCAATTGATGATCTTGGATCTCTATGGATGTGGGGTAATTTTCCTGAACCACAGAAAGGCAAGTCTATGGAGAGTGAATTCTCTCTTACTAGCAATTGCAACCCAATACCTATCTGGAATTTCCATGGACACACAGTTGTTAAGGTGGCATGTGGAAATGAGCATGTTGTGGCATTAGTCACTGCTGGGGAGGTTTATAAAGGGAGTGATCTTCTTTGTTATTCTTGGGGTGGCAACACCCATGGTCAGTTAGGCTTGGGAGACAGGCAGAGCAGACAGTATCCTGAAGTTATTGAGCCCTTCAATTCAGATGCCCCTTGGACAGTGTATGAGGTAGCATGTGGAGCTTTTCACACTGCTTTACTAGCTCAGAGAAGTCCAAGTGATACATTAGAAAGTGTATGCTGGACATTTGGCCAGGGAGATAATGGGCAATTAGGTCAAGGGACAACCCAAAGTACGTTGTCTCCTGAACCAGTGAAAGGGTTACCGCGGAATGCGTTTCTCATTTCTGTTGACTGTGGTTTGTTTCACACAAGTGTTGTCTCTTCTGCTGGAGATGTGTGGTCATGGGGAATGGAGAAAGGCCTTGGCCTATGCCCTGAAGCAAGTTATAGTGGACCTGATGCAGGTGATGCAATTCTTCCTCTGTTGATTCCCTGTTCTGGGCTATATGGGCCTAAATTTCCAGAACCTGTTCAAGTTGTCTGTGGTGCTGCCCATACTATTCTTCTGGCAGGTGCTGGATATAAGATGTGGTCTTGGGGTAGAGGATGGAGTGGTGTCCTTGGAAATGGTAAGATGATTGATTGCTACTCTCCAACTATGGCACTATGGCCACCTCTAGATGCAGATTTTAGAGAACAGAGTGTGAAAGATGGTAGCGATAAAAGTGGTGCAGAAAAGAAAACTGAAGATGTGATAGAATTGGAGAGGAAGCTGTCTATGGCAGCAGAGGATGTAAAGCTTCTTCAGTCGAAACTCTCTCTAATGGAAAGGTATGCTAGCATTCTTCATGGTGCCACCTTTGGGAAACCTTTTGAAGAGCGAGATATGCCAGCCTCATTACGCGGTGGAGGTTCATTTGACATTGCAAAGGAGTGGGAAAACATGTTGGAGTCCTTGGATCGTGGAAAGCTTGTCCGCCTGGAGATGTTTTATCGTAGTATGCTGGCAGGTGTCAAAGATAAACTGTTGAAGAAACGGATTCAGGAGATTTTACTGGAGTTTCAAAGTTCTTTGCCTTCAGATTCCACTCAACGAAACAAGTAACGTCGAATGCTTTTGTGTCAAATTTATTTCCTTGGTTGTGCATGTTATAAAAAATGTCTTCATATATTTATTACTTATCCATATGTAAAACAGAGAGATGGATAGTAGTTCTCTCTTGATGATTGTAAGTAGTAGTTAGTTCTGAAGAAATAATAATTAGAGTGTTGTAGTTTTATTGATATAATTATATTGTCCTGGTTCTTTTAACATTTCAGTATAGAAAGAACTCCTGAGTATATGAAAAGCAGTGTTCTCTATCAAGCTTAGAAGTTGGATGATTTTTTTGATCCGGTTAATAGACTTTGGATGAGCTTTTGGACATGAAAGTAGTTTATAGCACATGAAATTTCTGCACTTAGATCAAATCAACTACTATTTGTACATATGACAGTAGAATCATTTCAGAAAATGCAAGTGAAATCTATCTCAAAAAGACATTTTTGGGCTGAGTGAGAAAAAAACATAAATTTGAAATATGTATTTTGGTGCTAACAAGTGGTATCTCGTATATCCTAATACTATAAAAATACACTGATAAAGAAAATACCACGAGGTCCTATACACTGATAATCTCGCTAGGATTATAATGCAATGGATATTTGCAAGGATGCATAATGTACTACTCCCTTGTTCCAATTTGTGTGATTTTAGTTTAACTGAGCACTAAATTTAAAAATATGATAAAACTTTCAGTATTTCAAAACTAATCCTTGCACAAGTACATTTAAACTATGGTCGAAATTTCAAAAATACATCTTAATTAAACTAAGATCATATTACCTACCTCTCTCTAAACTCATTCTTTTGCAATTTTGTATGACTTTAGGCTTACGTGGCACATCCCTTGACTTCACGTAGTTGAAGTGCGTGGGAGATGTAGGTGTACAAAATTACAAAAACAATGAATTTGGAATAATAATACCTTAGTTTAGTTAAGGTGTGTATGACTACTTGCACCTTATCCCTAACTTTAAAATAAAATTGTATCTTTATAAACTTTGCCAAATTAGTGAAACCAAACATAGTAAGATGTTGATAGTTCATTAAATATTGGTAAAATATGAAAATATGTCCTTTTTTTTTTTCAATTTTGAATAATAACTAAAAGAAAAATGTGTCATACAATTAGGACAGAAAGAAATAATATTCGACGAGGCATGAAATGTTATACATGACTACTTATATACTTCAAAAGAAAACTTTGGCCTTCCAAAAATTTATTCGCATGAAATGAACAATTAGTGGACCTAATCAATGAGTATGACCCTTGCCTATTTTACATTAAAGGCTGTAAACAATGTCATCTCAATGTTAGTACACACTATATTCACATTACCTTGCAATTGACATTAATTCCAACATTATATAATGCATGTATTATTTAGTACCACCAACGATATATTGTTGTAACACTCCGTAGTTAAAATAGACCAAAAATTAATTTTTTTAAAAAAAAAATCTGCAGGTGCAATCAACGGTGGCATCGACGGTCCGTCCTGCACAATCGTCGATGTATTCAGAAACTCCCAAAACTTCAGCCGGAAAAAATTGGCTAAGTCTTGATCGACGAACGGACCGACGGTTTGTAGGTTAGACGACGGTCCATAATCTGCGACTGTCGATCGAGACCCCCATTCACCCACTCTCTGACAAGAGCTACGGATGACCAACACGGTCCGTAGGTGGAAAATTTGCAGACAGTTAAGGGAAATGCAGTTGGGTCAACTTCAAATGATCATAACTCTTAGCAAAAAATGGACTATGTGACCCATGACCTACCCACAGATAGATAATTGAATTAGCTTTACATAGCCACTGATCTTGCTAAAATCAGACCTCCGAGTAAAAAGTTATGCCCATTTTAGTAAAGGCCTGTCGAACAGGCCCTGACGACGGACCGTCAGTCCTGACCGTCGTTTGGCCCGACAACAACTTTTCTAGGGGTCTTTTGGACCTTTCCCATCCGTTTAAACCCTAAAGTACGTCTTTTTGACCCTAAATCATCATATTTTAGTCAGTTTAAGCCTAGAAACATAACTAAAGCATATCTAAGTCAAACATTAAATCAAAAGTTAAAATTAGAAGCAAGAAAGGAGAAAAAGCTCAAGAACCTTAGTTGAAGAACACAACAAGTTCCAGCAGTTCCAGCCCCGAAACCTAAGTATTTTTCCGTGGATTTCATCACCAGGTATGTGGGATTTCATTAGTGGGTTCCTTTCACCCATTGGGTCCCTAGTTTTTAGTCAGATTCTTGATTCTCATATCATGATTAAACCTAGGGTCTCTAGAACTTTGATAGAACTTCATGATTTAGTTAAATATATGTTTCAAATCAAATTATCATGTTATTACTCAGATTATCGCATGAAATTCAGAACCCTAGCTTTGTATTTCTTTAGTTCTTGAATTACACATGTTAGGTCAAATATTTCAGACACTTCAGATATACATGCCTTAGTTATAAATGCATAGTTACCAGATTAATTATTGCATTCTCAGTTTGCATGTTTTTTTTTGAGCTATCTAGTATTTACAGAAACTCAGACATAATCAGTAAATTTACAGAATTCATAGGAGTGGCATAATATCGAGTTGAACTAGGGTTCAATGTACCTAATTAGTCCCAGATTTACTAACCAAGTAGGTTGTAAGTCCCCTCTGTAGGCAATCAGTTTAGTGATCACGCCAGCATGTCTTTATACCTCTGACAGGGTATATTGGGTCCTCTCGATGGGGCGTATACATCGGACTCCACTTTTAGCTCATGTGGTTTTATTATCGGTTATTAGTAGCTCCCACAGTTCAGTCAGGCTCTCTGCATTGACCGTTTATCAGTATATTCAGTATTCAGTTTCAACATGTTATAAATTGGTCATTGCATTCAGTTAGCTCAGAATTCAATTAATCATGTCAGATTATTATACTTACTTTTATGCTTGTTCAGTTATGTTTTATTTCAGCTTTACTCTATCCTACATGCTCAGCACCTTTCAAGTACTGACGCATACGTGCACTACATCTTCTCGTGATGTAGGTTCAGGTTCTCAGCATCCAGATCACGCATAGATCAATTTCCCGATCTCCAGTTCAGCAGATTCAGTGGTGAGTCCTCATTCTCCGAGGACAACAGTCATGAGTTTCATTTTAGTCTTTAGTCATTTAGTTTCAGTTTTTGCTAGATTTAGCTGGAGCTTGTCCCAGTATTTCTAGTCCAGTTTAGAGGCTATTTTCAGACATAGTTAGTTTCAACTTAATAGTGAATTAATATTACTTTGTATTAAACTCACCGATTTTTCATATATCTCAATTTCAGCATATGGATATTCCCCATTTTTTCATTATAATTTATGATATAGCTTTCGTAACAATTTATTATCTTTAGTATGCTCATGATCATGCCAACAGAGTTATCTTGAGATCACTTGTAGTCCTAAGCTCCGTGTCCGCGCCTCAGAGGTAGTTCGGGGCGTGACAGTTGTGTTAGTATATGGTGACTACTTTTTTACTAGCGTCCAACCAAACAATCTTATCAACTTAGGAATCACGTGGTGTGAGGGATAAAAAGAAAATGTGATGGAATAAAATTATTGTATTTCATATTGATCCCATATATATGGTGGAAAAAATTATCCCAGATTTAGTAATCCTGGGATAATTTGTTGCCAAACAAATGACCCCTTAATGTTGGAATTACTGTTTCAAAACCGCGATCAAATGACCCTTTAGAATAACGACAAGGCATATGATAAAAATGGTCAAAACAAATATAGAACATGATTATTACAATTAGCCAGCAACTCTTTACAGAGTTCTATCTCAACACATTAACCAGGTACGGGCAGGGGCATTCGTGGTGGTTTACAAAAGCATATACATTGTAGGTACCCCAATCCAGAAAGAAAAAAATAAATAGCCTGAAGTTCTCATCCAAACGCTTTCAACGGGGTTTAGCTCTGTCTAGTTCTGCAGCATGTAGGTGACAGAAGTGGCTCAGAGGGGGCAAGACCATTCGTTATGCAGTGTCAGCTTCACATATGTAGCTTTTCAAGTTAACCCCTTCAAGAAAAGAAACAAATAACAAAATGGGTAGTCCGGATTTTGTTTTCTGCTGCAAGTAATGATCGGAAAGATGCAACCAGTGATCTATCAAGCAAGAAAACAGGGGTAATAAAGTCACTCTTCGAGGATTGCACGACCTAGGTTAGTGGCAAGTGCCAGCCTGACAGAGCTTAAGGCATCAGATGGCAAGTCAGCTTCAACAAAGTCTGGCCGCAATCTTGCCATGGACAATTCTTGCAGTTTATTCAACAGAAGCTGAGTTTGAGAAACATTAACCAACGGTCGCTCCTGCCACATTAACAATTTCAACTGCACAGGAAGAAAAGAGGAAAACGGATGAGGTCAAAGATGAAACATGCACCAGCTATTAAATAACATATAAATCTGAAAGCATTGTGAAGTTTTCAGCATGAATTAAATAAATAGACCGTCAACCCAATTTTCTAACCCACTGGGTATATTGTCATTTGGAAGACTTGATCATAAATGCCCCTCATAATATATCAGTTCCAGTTCTGATATGAACTAAGATTCATGTATTCCACAAGTAACAGGAGTATTATCCACAGAATCAAATGGTAGAGCAGATACCCACTGACTAGCTTCTCTTTTCTTTTCTTACTTGGGAGAAATTTAAAACCTGAGCAGGAGCGAACTAATATAAACCCCCAATGAAACATAATTCAAAACTAGAAAGAAATAAAAGCAAGCTACACTACATCAAACCCATAACTGAAAACAAAAATAAATAAAAAAAAGGGAAAAGAAAAGAGTAATTACATAAATATTTACTAGCGATCTAGATTGAACACTCATAAACTTCATCTTCTTTCATGTCAACCTTTTATAATTGTCTTTAGAAGCCAACATATTATACAAGAATCACCAGCATTGCCTGACCAAACATCTACATAAAGATGGGATATTGATCTTATATCTTATAGGTTTTCAAACATCATCTTATATCTTTTAGTAGTGGGCTTCCTACCTTGCGTTGATGTGACCTATTCAGCACCTATGATTTTGAAAAGAAAAAGAGAATTGATCTGGCAAGTCTAGCAAAGAATTAAATCAATAGTCAGAGAGGTACTCACTGAATCATATAGAAGAGGTAACCAAAAGCGTTGCGGCGTGGAAGGATTTTTCATGAGCTGCAGAGTAAACAAAAGAAAATTGATTCAGGGGCCAAACAGAAGGGTTTTTGCCTTAGATAATATATATAAGCATCCTAACAACTATTTCAATCCGAACCTACACAACACTCCGGCTGCCAGGTTTCATTATCAAATCTCATGTTAATTTATTTTCAGTTTCTAATGGTAGCTGCTTAAGTTATCATCTTATAAATCAACAGGACTGGATATCAAATGCAAAATCTTATACACACACAAAATGAATTTTTTTAATCAATCTAATGTTATTCTTCATTATTATAAAAGGTGGCAGACATACAGAGACGAGAGCTTCAGCTGCATTACGAGCTGCATCAGTGGGTGTATCACCGTGAACCTGCAATAGGGATCTCCTAAAGTCCCTGTACCTGTGCAGTAGTAAACATAAAAACTTCAGAGATTTAAAATGCTTTGACACCATGTTTACAGGTGACATCCACTAATACAAAGTGAGTAAGTATTAAGCAATTACTTGTTCAGAAACTCAAGTCCACCAGCAGTTCTAGACTCAGAACCCAGCAACTCTATGAGACCCTCCCATTGCTGCAGGGAAAGAATAATAGAATGATCAAAGAGAATAAGCCAGCTAATTCTATGAGAAAAGAGATGCTGCTTCAGAGCCAAACTACTAGACTGACTTGGAACAAATATCTCAGAGAGCAATCAGACTCATGATAATCAAAATAGATAACTCTAATGGTGAACCAATTCTACCAAATTAATTACGACAAGCCATGTTTTGGCTATCTTCGTTCTATTTCATTGTTTCACTTTTCTTCTCTTTGCTGGGGCTGGATTCACTTTAACCCAGACCCTAAAAAATACAAGCTTAGCAAGATTGGACTTCTATAGCATTTTGAGGTTTCTAACATTATATGAATCACAATTATCATCTTAACAATACTTAAGGGCTTCATCATGATAGTCCATTACCCACATTGCTTAAGCTCCTTAATCAAGCACCTGGTCAAGCTTGCTCACCACCATCTATACAGCTGCACGTAGTGTACCCATATTTGACATATGAAAGGTTCAAAATTTCTTCTGGACATCAAATCTCACCCATCAGATAGCAAGTTTTTCACAATGCACATACTTGGATAACTGGGACTACATGGATACATGAAACGCCTGTGAATTACTTAAAACAGTTGAACCGTCTGCAAACCAACAGTCTAAAGAATGTATTCCTTTTGGAAAAAAGAACCAAGAAACACGCTCAGCACACATAACATACAAAAACTGCAATTTAGAGAAATGGGTATAAAGATGTGAACTGTACAGACAGAAAAGTTAACACAGTTATACAAGAATTACGAAAATATACAAGGCACTCAACCACTATAACCAAGAAATACAAACCTTGAATCCTTCATCAGATACAGACTTCCCCACGAAATCAAATAATTGCTTGGCAATTCTGTTTAAACGAAATTCATCTCGAGCTTGCTGTAGCCAGAAGACACCAGAGCCTTTTCTCCCATGTTTCCAGTGATGCACACCAGCAATCTAATCAAAAATATGAAATACAAGTTGAAAGTACTTTGAGTTACTGCAGCAATTTCTTTGAACATAATAAATTACTTCAGTTAAGGATTAAACTACTTTTTAAATTTTAAATTTCTATAGAATAGATTAGTTTGTTGAGATAATTTAGCTTGTAAAATTTTAAATTATGCAGATTTTTTGTTTTAAGTCGGTTATCAAAAGCTCTCCTATGCTTAATAAAATTATTGAGACATGTCAATTACGTTTAATATTTTGTTGTTCTACCATCTTTTAAAACCCAATAGTAGTGCTATCAAAGATGGAAGTACAAAAAAAATCTAAGGTTTGTTGAGGCTTAAAGCGCATAGCCCAAAATAAAGCATTGGCTTTAATGGAAAAAGTCTCAAAGGGAGAAAAAAAATGCAAATACATATGTTTTTAGTGCAAGACTAATTATTATAAACAGGAATGACAAATATATGAACAAAAAAATTGAAAAAAGATTAAGATACTGAAATATCAATTGTTTAGTGGCACCTCTTCAGAAGAGGCTCACTTACATGGAAAAATATGCTTCAGAACCTTGATGACTACACTGAAGCGCACATAAAGCAAGGCAAACTGCTCAACACGTTTTGAGTCTTGCTTCAGGGCTTGAGTGCGCGCTTGACAAGACTGACCAACAGTGGTATCAAGAGCCTCATAATCTTTATGGGATTTGTGAGTTCTAAAATATTTTCAAAAAAAATTTTAACTCGTGCTTATTTTATACACAGTGCTATTTTCAACTAATACCGACTTAGGACCACTATCAATTTTAACATATTTTCAAACATGGCAAACAGCCATCTCTCTTACAATGTCCTGCCACATAAATTCACTGGTGAAAACTATCAGAATAGTCCGTGAAAATGAAATCGTATTTTGAGAGCTAAGTATTATGGGATATTATGATGGAAGAAAAATCCTTACAACAATTTTTCGGAAATCCTACTATTGTCCAGATTAAAGCACTTCCAAAAGAGCTTCTAGACACTCATGTAACGTGAGGAAAAGTCATGTTACAAGAGTTTGTTTGTTCAAAAACACTCGAAAGAATTCACAATCACAAACGGCCAAAACCAAAATTGAATAGGAGCAGTTCTTTTATTTTTTTAAAATTGATAATGCTGTATTCCTCAGCATTAAGGTTATGCTTGCCACCTCCAAAAAGTGAGTAACCAAGAGAGAAGAAAAACAACTTACAGAGGCCTAATAAATCTACAATTTGATATGTTCCCTCTTAACAACTTTTTTTACACCAAAAAAGCAAGATATAATACAATTTCATTTGACTTTTTGAATAGAATTGGATCTATTTCAAAACATCTCAAAGTTGTCTCTCCACACAGTCCACCAGATGCCGGCAAGTACCATCCTCCACCACCTTTTCTAACTTTTGCTTCCTTCCCTTCTAATCCAGCAGCTACGTACATTTGAGGTGTGCTCTTGCATGGTCCATCTAGTGTTAGTTTGGTTGAGGAAAATTTCCCAAAGATGGGCAATGAACTCACAATGAAGAAACAAATGTTTTGTTGCAAAGAAACCATTTGAGCGCTATCTGCATCCCTTTCTTTTGCAATACTTCTCGAGTGAGACGCTACCATTTGAGCGCTATCTGCATCCCTTTCTTTTGCAATACTACTCGAGTGAGACAAGCTGTACCACTAACCATGTGAAGAATTTCACCTTAGAAGGTACCAAGCTTTTCCAAATGAAGTTCCATTGGTATTGTGGCCTTCTAGATACACCTTGCATCTCTATCTGGTATGCGTTCTTAACTGTGAAATCTCAATGCAACTAGAAATTGACCCCAATGACAAAGTTATATACTCTATAATATAGGGCTTATCCACATTCTTGCTATGCTTCCACAAGACCCTATATGGTTATGTTGTAAAACTACTGGGGCCTCCTAATTTCTTAAGTAATGAGGTCCCACTCTCTCCACTTTCCAGTCATTTAGCAGTCTCCTAAAATAGAGATCTCATCATCTCATTCCTGAGGTGTCCTCCACACTCACACACTCTTGCATCAGGGTTGTTAAAAATTAAAAACAAATTTGGAAACAATTCCATCAGAGGAATTGGTCAATCCATCCTTCTTTCCAGAATTTACTATTGTCCCCATACCCGCCATCTTGAATTTCAGATTTTGTCTCCATCAGTAACCACAAATCCCTAAAAGTTCTCCATACTCCAACCCCAAAAGGTTCAATATGACCATTTCTGTGCACCAAGGGTTTAGTTCACCGAACTTTGCCATGATCACCTCCTTCTAGAAGGTGATTTCCTCCTCATTATATCTCCATAGCCACTTCATCAGAAGACTAGTTTTTTAGTCTTAGATTTCTGATTCCCAGTCCACATCCTCACCTCTTTCACCAATTTGAAATCCTTTGATCCATCTATTGCGTAGTACAATTCTTATCATGTTATCATAACCTTTCATTGTCAAAATAAACAGGAAAGAGGATAGAGGGCAACCCTAACTCAACCCCCTCTCAAATGGAAAAAAAACCCATAGGTTCTCCAATATCCATTTACAAGAACAGAACCTTACAATTTTAATACAATACTCACTCCAACTCAGCCATTTACTACCAAATCCCATTTGCCTAAAAATATTTAATAAGAATTTCTAATAAACATGGTCAAAGACTTTCTGAATATCAAGTTTGCACATTGATTACACCAGGTGCAACTCCTCTCATTCTAGAATATACACATTCACTAGCTATGAGTGTTGCATCCACAGTTAGTTCCCCTTTAATGAAAGTCATTTGATGCTTGTCGACCAGTTTGCTCACCACCTTCTACAACCTTTCTGCTAGTAGCTTTGCAATAATCTTGTATACTCCACCTACCAAACTTATTGGTTTGTAGTCCTCCAAATCAGCTGCACTTGTTTTAGATAACAACACTATGAAGGTGGCATTGCAGCTTTTTTCCAAAAACCTGGTCGGATGGAAGAACCGTACAGTTCTTATGATATCTTCCTTCAACATAACCTGGTTAGGATGGAAGAACCATACAGTTATTATGAATCTTCCTTCAACATTTCCCAAAAAGAAAGAAAATCACTGGAAAATCATCTGGTCCAGGAGCCTTCTCCAGAATACACAACTTGATACAACTCAGAATCTCCTCCTCAAATTCTCTTTGTAGCCATACTTGTTTAACTAGAGACTATTGATGTTTCATGCAACTGCAGCTCAGGTCTACAAGGTTCAATCTCCTTGTACAGTTCTTGGTAAAAATTCTGAGCTGCCTCCTCAATTTCCTCAGGATTAATGACTGTGATGCCATCAACTTCTAAAGTATTAATGCAATTAAATTTCTAGTGAGCAGTAGCAATTCTATGAAAAAGAGTGGTGTTCTTATCACCATATTTCAGCTACTGTATCCTGGATCTCTGCTTTCATGCTATCTCATCATCTTTTGCCACCTTCTCAAACACCATGGTCAAATTTGTCTTTTGAAGAAATCCATCATCAGCAAAGGCTCTCTGGTCTTGAATAGCTTCCAAACTAGAAACCTGACTAAGAATGTCCTCCTTCCTCTGCTTCCAATTTCCTCTTTGTTCTTGCTCCACCCTTTTAGCTTTGTTTTAACAATTTCAGCATCTAAGCTAAGACATATCCAGGTCGGACATTAACAATGAAGGAACCCCACCATTCATTCACTTTATCTTTGAAACCCTCCACTTCCAGCCACCAAGCTTCAAATCTGAAGTAAGATTTCTTCAGCTCTCAATCTCCACAAGTGAACAGAGTAGGATTGTGATCTGATCCTATTTTTAGGTAGAAGGCTCAGTTTGATATGAGTAAATTCCTCCTCCCATTGTGCACAATCAAGGATCCGTCAATCCTGGAAGCACTCCTATGATTATCCCCCAAGAGGAACAATTTTCTTAAATTGCAACAAATAAAGCAAAGGAGAAGTGTTGAAAATTGCTGCAGTAATTTCTTTAAGCATAAAAAATTTATTGTTTTGGTTTAGAGCTAAACTACTTCTCAAAATTTTAAATTTTATATTGCATAGATTAGTTTGTTAAGATATTTTAGATTTTTGAATTTTAAATTATGCTGATCTTTTTATTTAAGTTGGCTATTTAAAGCCCTCTTATGCTTTATAAAATTATTGCGAGACATTTTCAATCAATATTTTGAACTTTTTTGCTGCATTATCTTTCATAAAAATAAAACAACAGATTGAAAGTGAAGCACTTGTATTTTCAAAGTAATCACAAAAGTTCTAATACATACCATTACAGGGAAATCATATCAGAGTCCTTTTTATTGCGCTTAAGAAAGTACTAACACCTTAGAGATTAAAGACAGCCAATATGAATATATCATGGCATACCCTCATAATGTTCGAATTTATAGTGTCAAGTTCATACAGGCGGCAGATCTCTATACTCTGCACAGAAAAGCAACATTAACCAAGCAAGAATTATTAAGTAAACACTAGATTGAAATGAGACTGTAGAGAAAGATAATCGAGGGCAAAACCACAAGGTGAGGAATCAAAAGAAAAGTTACCCTGGAAGATGTACCTTTAACAGAATTTGGCTATGCTGTACAGGCTGCTTGTACAGCAAATTCTCCAATAATCTAATCCCTTGTTTTATGCATGAAGTCAAGTATATTGGCGCAATCTGAAGGGAAGTGAGAAACAAAGATCCAAAATATATTAGTACAAGAACAAAAATTTGAACTGAGTTTTCAGAAACCAGTATTTAGCTTTTCCACAGATTGAGCTTCCAGAATACAGGTTCAGAAAAAGCAGCTTATAAAATTCCATTATGTATCCAAACTGTGTAAGGGAATAAATAGGTAAAAGCTCTCCAGCATCTAGAAATTGTTTTAGTGTTCAATTGTAGTTCTAAGTTACAGGCTGTCTCCAATCCAGAAACATCTTAATTTTTTCCCCATACAATTTGGGGGCCATACTGAATCTCACTCATGTCGTTTGGTTTTCTTTAATTAGGGTGAAAGCTGAACCCTACACACGTACAAGGGGAGATAAATGAAGAGTTTTAAGTTTTTATTTATTTATTTATTTTAGAAACAAGTTAAAGTAATAATGCAAGTACAAGCAAATCAGGCATTCATTTGCACAAGTTTGTATCTCCACATACTTGCCACGTTAATGCATGAGAAGACAGAACTTGTGCATATACAAGTCTATGCAGCTCTTCTATGCTAACTCCTCCAAGTTTGGAATGCTCTTCATGCAAAAGAATTTCTGCATGAGTGCTCCCAGCTGTCAACAACTCTACAGCATGTGCCATCATCCTTGAGAGATGGGAAAAAAGGACTTGCATCAGACAAATAAACGGAGAACAAAATGTGAAATACTCAAGCCACCCAAATGAATAGTACAAAGAAAGAGAAAACTAACAAACCAAGGGCCAAATGATCTTGAACACTCTGCTAGAACAACCTGAACATATAGGATATGCTCATTGAGTTTTGCACATATTAAACATTAACTAAAAGTTAAATTAAATCTATAGAGTGGTTCACCTCAGTATTTTCTCCAAGAATTCCAAGTATAAGACCAAACAGCTTATGGGGGATGGAAGCTGGCTTTACTTGCATGCATTTCTTAGCTGAATTGTGCATGCTCTCTAGACCCTACACCAAAAAAAATACAATGTTTATTTTAAGCACAAACATAACAGCAAAAGAATCTTCTTGCTATCCACTTTTGGATGATTGTGCAACAAAGTGGCTCAACTTATGGATGATTGTGCGACAAAGTAACATTAGATGTTTTAGATAAATTAGAAAGAGGAACTGACCGCAGTAAATGGCCTAACATATAAGAAATGGGATATAAAAAGCTCCATCCAGTTGAAAGTTGCATTTGATAGAACAGTCGGATTTCCCAACATGATCTGGATCAAATTTTTCAGCCCTTCTCTGGTCTGCCGGTGATCACATTGAAGCCAGTAGGAACTGCAGTCCAGTTTACTTATTTGTGTTCTCCACTTCTCCCAAGCCTAACAGCAAAAAAGGCATCAGATGTTGTCCGGTAAAGGCCACTCATCATTAGTAAAGGCCTAAATTACCTTCATGAAGTCAGGCTTGGTTTTGTAACACTCGCCCAAATTGTCTTCTCTCAGACTCGGACGCATTCTAGGCATCTTGGATATAAGAACAGCAACTGCTTCAACCAGTCCATTCTCTGTCTTTTAAGAGCAAGAACTAAACAGGTTAAAAGAGGAAACAGGAAAGCTGTAATCATAGTTCAGAGACCCTTTTGAGAGAGACGGGAATTCTTCAGAAACTATCTGAGAGCAATCAAATAAAATTCTCATTGCTCTCGTTCCCCAGGACTTCAGTCACCAGCTTCCCAATCAGCAAGTGAACAGTTGCCTAGACTTAATCTGATGATATCACTGTTACTTGCCCAATCATAGAGAGAGTCCTCTACCCACAGAGACTCATTAATTGTAGATCTTCTTTAACTTGACTAGTTAAAGATAAGAAATTATAATGGCGTCAATGCTAAAGATTAGTGATGAAAAGGAGGATATACAGTGATCTCTCAAGCTGTTAAGAGGTAGCTTATGCCAACTAGAAGCTAAAGAAGAACAATGCGATACAAAAAGAACAAGAAAGTCCACTTTATCATCCGACATGGCAGTGCATCCTGTAGTTAGATCTCTCAGGCAAAACACGCAAAGAGTGATAGACTTTGGAACTCGATAGAAAAGGTACACGGCCTGATAAGGTGTCAAAGCTCTGAAAGACAACTCATTGCCCCATGATTAGGTATACCAATATAAGGAAGTGGCAATAACTGCTCCAAATTTAACTGATGTACAGGTTGTTTACGAGGGAAAAGTAAGTAAAGAATATAATGTTACGTGAATATCTAGGTTGTATTAAGCTATGCTAGACTGCTACTAATCACAAGTTCAAAATTTTTGCCTCTCCTTTTTTTCTCGTTTGTCAGGTTAAGTTCGAAATTCTTACCTCTCGACTAGATAATTGATCAAACCGGTAAGAGCCATGCAAGCGCAGCAATTTTACCTGCAAAATTGGCAATCATAGACTTATGCACACTCCTTGAACAAAATCCTGATATACATCACAGTATCACACAAGCAACAAAAACTTGAATGAACAATTAATAATGGTTGATATCCACAAATAATATGCTCACCACAGTTTCCAGCCAGCCAACAGCCAATGCTGATGACATTGCATCCCAGTAGTTAGGATCATCTTCAACAACCTGTAATGATCAAATAAATTGGAAATGAGCACAGAAAGATGGAAGTGCTACTCCTTCCATCATAGTTTAGTTATGGCTGAAATCTGAACACATACATAGACAATCAAAGTTGACATAAATTCACTTAGACAACCCAACTACATGTTTCAATTGAACTGTCAACCTTCCCAAAAATTGTACAATTAGACACTATTTTGACAATCCAAAAACATAAGGAGAGTATTACAGTCATTGCTGATGTGGCAAAACAGTGAATTAACTAACTATATGTGACATTTGAGTTTTTTCTTTTTTTAAAAAAAAAAGGGAAAACCTATTTTAGAATCTATCTAGGGGGGGGGGGGATCGCAGCTTATAAAAAAAATTAAAAACAAATAATCTAGAAAAAAAAAAAGGAAAAACTATTTTAAAATCTATCTAATAAACAAAATAAAAATAACATTGGCAAAAAGAAAAAGGACTTAGAAAATCTGCAACTTCTGATTGTGGAAAAAAAATTCTGAAATTGTTTTTGCAACTTTAGGCTTAAATGGAAAAAAATGTGTTCTTTTGGCCTTTTCACGTGCCTGTTTGATGTGAAATTCATGCAACTTGCCAAGTCAGCGAGAAGTGTTAAAATGGCATAGTTGGACCCTAGTACATGTGTTTTAAAAGGTACAAATCTTAAATGAAGTGTCTAAGTGAAATTCCGTACCAACTTAGTTGTTTGAATATATTTCAGTCTTTAGTTATCCTTCTTTGTACTTTGTTTTTTAAAATGGTTAACAGTACATTCATCAAGGATACTTGCACAAGTTGTATGGGTGCCCAGATCAAAAGGGACTACAATAGGACGAAAAAAAACTTTATATGTGTAATCTTGGACATCAAAGTAGATTCTATATATTCTAGACATTCTAGTTTACACCAAAATAGTAAAGCACTAAACCCTTCATCTTTAAATTCTCCATGAGTTTCCTTTGTCTTCAAAGCATCTTTGGTTCCTTTTTTTCCAAAGGGTCCAACAAATACAGGTTGGAACAATTCTTCAGCTCTCTTTCTGACTAGATAGATTTCCTTCTCTATTCCAGATAATTAGAACATTAGTTAATTCTAGTGGCATCACCCATCTAATGCCTCTAAAGTTGATAAATGTTTTCCAGAGTTGATTTGTCCATTTGCATTGTATAAAGAGATGATTGATTGTCTTGCTTGCTCTCCACATAAGAAGCATCAGGAATATAAGCGGAAACCCCTCCATGCTAAGTTGTCATGATTAAGGGCCTCGTTTTTTGCCAGCAACCAAACAAAACAATCTACTTTATAGGGTATCATGACGTTCCATATCAAAATTCCAGCAAAACATTTGGCTCGTTGAGCTCTCTAAGGACTGATTTGACTGGGAACATACCTTTACTAATCCCTTTGACCCAATATAAAGAACACATTTTTCCTTTGAGGATTAGTAATGTTGTATTCTTCAGCATTGGGAATGCTGGCCACCATTAGAAACATGTTACAAAGCAAGTACACTCTAGATTTAGAAAGCTCCTAGAAATTCTACTAACGACTCTATTTCCTCTATACAGTTCTGTTTACACCAAAAAAATAAAGTCTCTAGGCAATTCCATTTCACATCATGGACTGCTCTAATTTTGTCTTCAAAACACCTTGCAATTCTCTCCCTCCAGACTGACCACCATATGCAAAAGGGTATAATCCTCCACCATTTTTTTTGACTTTCACTTCCCCCTCTTCTCATCCAACAACTCATTACATCAGCTGTATGTTCAGGCATTGTCCAAACTGTCTTTGTGAGACTGTAAAACATGTTCCACAATTGAGCAGTGAATTCACAGTGTAGGAACAAGTGATTGTTTGTCTCCCTAGTCTCATAGCACAAAAAACATCTAGTCACCACACCTCTCCCCTTCTTTTGTAACACCTCATGAGTAAGACATGCCTTTCCTACCACTAGCCATGTGAAACATTTCACTTTTGTAGGGGCTATGTTCTTAAGGGAAATGCCTCATATATGTGGCACATTTTCCTTTTTAGTTCGTCCCCAAAAGAATGTCACCTTTCTACCATAAGAAACAATTTAAATTTAAAATTCCTCTTTTACACTTATTAAAATGATTTATAACCATACAAATGGTCAAGGAGTGTTTTAAACCACATACTTCCTTCGTTTCTTTAATTTTGTCCGAACTCAAATGGTGTCACATAAATTGGAACAAAGATACTTTTAACCATACCAAGCCATCTTCATTGGTAGAAAACCCATTGAAAAGCTCTAAGATATTCATATAAAATCTGTCATTCTGCCAATCTACCAGTCATTTAGGTGTCTTCTAAAGCTACAATTCCACCATTGGTCTGACCATACTCCACAGTTCTTCCAAAGTAGCTTGTTGCTGTTGATATGGGCTATAGATATCAGGAAAAGATTGTTTTAAAGGTGGTGACCTAACTCAACATTCTCCCCAAAAGGAAATTTTCTTTTCCATTTCCAACTTTGAAGTTGGATAAACTATGAATAATTGGCCAAAGACATCTAATGGTTCTTCAAACTGACACCATAAGGGATGTACACTTGTTTGGTAGTCCAAAAGTTTTCCTCCGACATTTTCCTCTGGTCACATCCTTCCAAAAGGGATTTCTCTTCTGAAGCCAGTTTCCAGTTCTACTTGCTAAGTAGACTCTGGTTTTGAGCTTTAAGATGGCATATGCTTAGGCTTCCGTCATTTTGTTGTTTAAGAGAATATCCCATTTCATGTAGTGGATTTCTTCTTGTCAGAGTTCCCTTAGCATACGAAATTTCTTCTAAAGCATCAATTCTATCAGCAACATTGGCAGGCATAGAAAATAGGGACATCGTATATGTAGGCAAAAGCATCAAGAACAGTTTCGATAAGAAACAGTCTCCCACAAAGAGATAGATATTGACTTTTCCAATTTGGTAGTTTCTTCTCACATTTCTTCAGGATCCCATTCCAAATACCCATTGACATGTTCTTTGCTCCAAGGGGCATTCCTAAATAAATGGTATGAAGCTCACCTACTTTCCACCAAAGATCTCTACTAGAGAGTGAATCTGTGGAATTGTATTGATTGGATATATAAAGAATTCTGACTAGTTTACATGCATCCTGAGACAGCTTCAAACAGAATAAGAATCACTCTTAGCCTTCTGAGTTGAGATTTTTCTGCATCATATAGGATCAGTAATCATCAGCGTAGTGTAAGTAGGAGATTTCAACTCCATTTTCAGTGTTGAGATTGGCTTTGAAGCCCTAATACAGTCATTGCTCTTTGCAGTCCTCAAGATATCATTCAATCCGTCCATTGCTATGATGAATAGAAACGGGGAGAGGGGGTCACCTTGTCTCAGACTTCTCTGTGAGGGAAAATAACCACTGGGGGAGCCATTAATTAGGATGGAAAATCTAACTAAACTGATGGAATGTGTGATCCAGTTAATCCACCTTCAAGGCCCATTCTCTGTAAGACTTTCAATAAATAGTTCCAGTTGAGATGATCAAAAGCCTTTTGAATGTCCAGTTTGCAGAGATGATTTGGGCATGCGACGAGGAGATGCATGGATCCCTCAGTGCGGAGGTATGAGAGGTTAACTATGGATGGTTTCAGGAGAGGTAGAGGTAGGCCAAAGAAATACAGAGAGTGGTGATTAGACAGGACCTCGCATAGCTTCATCTTATCAAGGACATGATGTTAGAAAGGAGGCTATGGAGGACACAAATTAGGGTAGAAGAGTAGTAGGTAGTTGAGTGTTGTCTCACTTATCCTTTACATACTCGTAGTTGCAGCAGTACTCGTATAGTTTCTTGTTCTTCAATTTCCATCTCTATTTGTTATTTCTTGTACTTTGATTATAGTATTATTTTGTTGTATATATTCCTTTTTTCAGAATGCTTCATCATTTTGTCGTGGCTTCTTCGCTTCTTTTATTTATTTTCCCTGACTGCTTTGTTATGTTTTTTCCTGAGCCGACGGTCTATCAGAAATAGTCTCCATACCTCCAAGGTAGGGATAAGGTTTGCATACCCCTGATATTCACTCTAATTTTGAACTGCTTCTTCTTCTTTCTTTTTTTGAGAAAGGTAAAGTTATATCCATCAGCAATGAGAGTATGATGGCAACTAACCAAAAAATTACAAGGACAAGAAACCACAATTACAAAGAACCTAGGATTGAGCTCACACCTGCTTAAATACAACTAAATTTTAATCTTTATGTCTATATCTATCTCCAGTCAAATTAGAACACTTAACTGTGACTAATAATTTATTCATCAATAATTGTCAGTAATTATTTATCAACTAATAGACCCAACAAATGTAAAGTTCACAGGGATATTAATTGACAGCTAAACCTGTACTCCAACAAGTTCCTGCTGAAAATCCACAAGCTTCGAGTGAATAGTTGGTAGAGTTCCCGAGAATAAGGAATTGTAGTCCTGATGAATGAACCATGCATTAAGTTAGAAGAACAGTATAAGATCTGTGACATCTGTTGGAGAAAATAGAGGAAACATATTCAGAATAGAAAAGGAACATACAGCTAACCAATCTAGCAACCGTTCAGGAATCCAAGATTGAGATTGTTTGTCTATGTAAAATATCTCCAATAGCTCCCACGCAGCTTTCAGACACACTGGCGCTGCAATTTCCTAACAGGCACACACAGTCACCAGATAAATACTAATAGCGAAGGTCAGAATCTGGGCAGCCAAACAAAAGTGTGATGATAATTACTCACATTTACTACCGACTTGGCATCTTCGATAATTGATTTAGGAGGCGGTTTTTGATCACTGAGAAGAGAACTTATCTCTTTGCTGTACTCTATGACATGCTCCCACCTAATTACATGTAAGATGTAGTGTAACTGTCAAATAGTGACCCAATAAAAGGACATATTCCCCCAGGCTGCTATAGTATGGATTAAATATAAAACTCTCTCAGATCTCTTTAGAGAGAAACTTCAAGCTTCTGGACTTGGAACTCGTTTTTCTAACAAGTTTATATGACATAGAGCTCCTGTTGTAGATAGGGAAAAAATGCACTACGCTTGTAGCAGCACCTCCTCTTAGGTTTACAAGGTAAAACAGTCAGATATCTTCAAAATTTATTAAGAGAATAATTACAAAAATAAAACCCATAACTAAAATGAGTAGCATGGGTGAAAAGGGGTCTCCCTGTCTCAACCCTCTCAAACTACCAAAGAAAACACGCAAGTTACCATTCACAATACTTGAATACCTAATAATGGAAACCCGATGCTTGATCCAAGTTATCTGTTGAATGCTAGAACTCTTCTTCAACATTATTTAGTCCAAGAATTCCAGTTTACATGATTACACAACTGCTCAAGGTCTAGCTTATCCAGAATTCCTGAACTCTTTGCTTTCTGTTAGAGTCAACAGCTTCTTCTTTTTTTTGATGAAGTAAGAAGAATGTCATTAACAAAGCATCAAGCAGATGCACAGATTACAAAAAGAAGAATGTCATTAACAAAGCATCAAGCAGATGCACAGATTACAAAAGAAAGAAATATCAGCTCCCAAAAAGGCAAAAAAATCTATCTAAACAGCTAACAATAGAGATCTATGGAGCTGATAAATTCTAGGTAAGAATCGACACTAAGTAAAAGAGAGAGACTAACCCAACCAAAAAGAGTAATCAAACATCTTGCTTTAACGGTAGAGATGGGAGTTGGGGTACCATCAAAACATTTGAGTCAACAACTTCATTTGCCACCAAAGTTGCATCAAGTATATGTCTTCCCTCAACAAAAGCATTCTGCGATGTAGACAATGTCTCATCTAATACCCTCTGTAAACTATTGGAAAGCATATTAGAAATAATCTTATAAATACTTCCCACTAGGCTATGGGTGCATATCTTCTTATGCTCGATGCACCCTCCTTTTCTGAAATGATGACAATGAAAGATGCATCAAAACTTCTCTCAAATTCTCCCTTTCTTGAAATTCATAATGGTTTCCATCACCTCACCTTTGATCCAAAGTGAACACATCCGGTCTCGCAACTTTATCTACCGCACAACACTCCACCACCTTCCTCACCTCCTCTTCCTTGATCACCCTCTCCACCACTCCCTATTAGCTAACCACTAGTTATGTACCAACTCGGGAGGCAAAAAAAGACGTTTTTACAAAGGTGTTAGGACTACGACAATTTGCCAAGTTATCAGAGCAAGGTGGACATTTAAAATGCATATGTTACAACTTGAGGGGAGTATTCAGTAGTCAATATCTATCAGTAATGCCAAATTTCAAATTACAAATTATTTTCTTGTTTCTGGGATAATGGTAACATCCTGAATATATAGCAAAAGCAACACCCGAAGGTGCTGAAAAATAATCACAAGCTCACCAAGAAACCATGAGGAAACTGTCAAAAGCTATTCTAATCTAATCAGTTGTGTCATTACAATTAGCCTATTAGATCTATCAAATCCCCTGCATCACCCAAGAGATACTGTTTACAGCGCCATTATAGGTTTATATGGCTAGTATGGTAGATCAAAGATCATATTGAGTCTAAAATTAGATAAGGTCGATAGCTAGATAGAGTTAGTAGGCGTTTGGTCATTGATTCCAAATATTTTTCACTTTATATAAAATTTATGAAGTTGGAGTTGAAGATGGAGTTGTGTTTGGTTATACTTTTTGCAAAGGAGAGAAGAGAGCACTATTTCTAAGTCCAACAAAAACATACTCAATGTAATCCCACAAGTGGGAACGGGGGAGGTAGGAATTAGGACGTACGCAGCCTTACCTCTACCTTACAGGGGTAGAGGCAAATAGGTTTGGAGCACGTTCTCAAATTTGGAATCCAACCCCAAGTTAGATTTGAAAATTTTACAACCACAACACTGATTTTGAAATAATGTCAAAAATTATTTTAGAAAAAAGTAAATAAATTTCATGGCCAAACAGCTCCTAGTGTTCCACTACAAAGAAAACACTTCCCATTGGAAATGTATATATATGATGTTGTATGGTTGAATAGATCAAAGTGGTTGGAAAAACAAAAGATTACAGACATTGTCTCTCTTTTGGACTAACACTATAAGATGATCAATATCGAGGATTTTTTCCTTTTTAGGAAAACCACTCTAGCTTACCTTATTGAGGAAGTATCTCAGAATTCACAAATACTATTATACAATCTCGAAAGAAATAGAAGGGTCAGGAAGGGGGAAAACACTCCTGTTATACCAACTAAGAAAGGTTTCAAGAAGAATATCTTCGAAGCAACGAAGAAGCCTTCAATCTCAAACACAAAACAATGGATGAACTTGTTCATTCAGATTCCCTGAACTGAGAATTGATATGGTTTAAGCTCGTGAATATTCTCATACTAAACACGCATATGGATTAAAAAACTACTTGAGGTTATTTCAGGTCTATTTCAGCTAAATCAAGTTACAGGTTTACCATTCCGCCATTTTACTTATCCGGAAAGAACTGAAAAACTTACCACTCTGCCTTGTAAGGAGGGATATCCAACGACATTCTCGATGCTGCAGACAAAGAATGTTTCCGGCTCTGAAGAAGAGCGAAAGGAGTCACTGAACTGTAGGCCATTCTCCTCCATCTTGCAGCATCAACTTCCTCATCTCCACTGTTACTAAGCTTCACTTCCACCACTCTTCCGCCAGCCTCGCCTTCTCCGTCCGCCGTCTCCGACTGAGGCTTCCGGAAAACTGATACTCGGAGAGTATTTCCACACGCCCATGAAAAGGAGAGTCGATGAATTGGGGATTTGAGACCATGACGGAGAGGGTAGTTGACCACGGGTTGATTTTCTGTCTCCAGCGAGACTGGAACCATTGCAAGGTCATCGGGTTCTGACGTCAGCCCTGGCATTTCGCCGGATTGTCGCGGATGCTACAGAAAATGTTTTTCTTGTGACTATCTAGGGTTTTAAGAAGGGGTTTATGGCAAAGCGAGGGAATGAGTTCATAATTTCAATTTGGGATCTTTACGGACTACACATGGAGATGTCACATTAGGTTAACAGACCGCGCTTTGCGTAATGACAAACTAAACTAACTTAATTAGGTTATGTGTTGTTGAATATGCTTTGCATTTTATGAAGCTTATAAATATACAAATGGACTAACTTAATTAGGTCAGGCCATTGGGTTATGTGTTATTGAATATGTTATGTATTTTATGAAGCTTATAAGCATACAAATGCACATATGTCTTAGTCTAATAAATTAATATATGTTCATTTTGATTTAATGACGTCTGACAATTTACACAGCAGGAGAATACTAAAATGAAGGCTCTGCAGTCGACACCTTTTGAGAAATCTCTAATTTATCAAAGTTTGTCAACATGTATTCACATTCTTAATCTATTTGATTTACTAGTTTTCAGAAGATAAATATATATTGAATAGCATTAATTTTATTTCAACATGCAACATGAGCAGATTAAAAAACTTATAGACAAAGTTGTAGAACTACTAGTTTTATTTGTTCACCATCTTTCCACAAAGAATCATCATATAATCGCCAGTCGTTTTTTCTTCTGGTCTATTACATATCATTATCTATCTACACAAAATTAATTTCATGTTATTAGTAAAATTATCTCATAAGAATTCATACTCTCATAGTGCTTAAATGTAATATAGTACTCCTAGAAAGGCAAAGAGTAGTAGCATATTACATTTATCAAAATAATAGAGATAACAAACAAATATTATCTTAGTAGATGATTGAAAGGCACACAATATCAAATAGTTAGTCACAAAGTGTTGTCTTAATGTACTCAAATAGTTGACTTATAGGTTAACGCATTTGCTTTGAAAGAGAGAAATTCATTTTCCTACTAAGTTCTTCAAATAGTAATAACTAAATAATTCTCAACGTAATGAGGATACTATAAACTTTAAATGAATTTACGGTTTAAAATTTTACATATTGTTAGATTGTCGGCCACCAAACTCCATGTGCGTTAGCATAATATTTTATTCATAATTTCACGTAAGCGCACAATTAAAGAAGGATAAGAGTTTCGGGTGGCATAATGTCCAAGAACACTCTATTTTGAACTTGGGTAGGTTCTAACTGAAATGTAACATAAATCTGTCAGTGTATACACCTAAAAATAATGCAAAATTATTAATTTTACAAAGGTATGCAAAAAGCCTTACGATAAAAAAAGCTTTCAAACTTTGTATTTTTCTCATCATAAACCACAAACTATGAACTACCTAAACTGGATGAGTTTTTATGTAATGAGAGTAGAACTATTTATAATCAATTCCACTTGAGTATGCACTTGACTATTAAAGTCATTGAATTCTTCTAGCTCTCAGATAAGCTCTACAATGCATAAAGATTTTTTCCAGTGCGATAAAGAGTTAGATAAAGCCACCAACCAGTGGAACACCGAACATTAAACATTGCACCTTCGATTGTCATTTACAGACGAAGTGTACCAAATTGCTCGTGGACGGTAAGTTGCATACCTTACCATTTTGTGGAAATTCGGGCCAAGTGCTTGATATTTGTTTAGTGTGTGCTAAGCTTTTAAAGTTATATGCAAAATCAATTATCAATTTGGACAATCAATCCAAAAAAGATAGTGAGTTTTACAATGTAAATATTCGTTCGGAACAAAGATTATTACAAAGTAAACAAATAAAAAAAAACTTAAAATATCCTTCTTTTACTACACAGATATATTTTCTGATTTAGCTTGTGATCCTCATTATGTTTACTCGTGATCATTTGTTATTTGTTCATAAACTGCACATTTCACGTCATTTACAAAAAGGGTGTCTTATAATGATTGAAGCAAATTTTGAAATGCGTACCAAATGTCGTGTCTAATTTGACAATTATATCACATACAATATGGAACGCTTCTTCCAGAACATATTTTTTAATGAAGGCAATTTTTTAGTGTCCCCGTCCGCGTTTATAATGGATCCTTCTTTTGTTGTTATTCCTGAATCTGCGACACGTAACGAATTGTTTTTCACGAAATCGGATACCATGGAGAAAGCTATCAAACATGAAATCGGATCTTAATGACCCCAATTATGCAGGCAAAGAGAGAAGGAGTACCTGTTGTTCGAGACAAGAGGACTCATCCAATAGTGGAACCAAAATAGAAACGACTCTACCTTGAGGAAGAAAAGTAATATAAAGTTGCATATGATTTACCTCTCTCAACTACTCATATCAGGCAACCATATCAATCTTCATTGTCATAGTTCGACTTGTCAAAACTCTAATCTGGCTAAGAGAGGAACTGCAATATACATAGACGGTCATAAAATGCAATAATAGGAAAGACATTAATGTATTCCAAATATACATAGAGTTACAAGCATCCGCAGGTATACACACAAAGAAAGTTTTTAAAATTGAAGTGGCAACCATGCAATCTGGCAGTCTTTTTTTCATATTAAACTAAAACATAAAGTGGGTAAAAATAAAATTTTAACTAAACTTTAATATTTTATGTTTCCATGCTGAGCTTAGTGGTTATTTTAATTTTAGACTCCTGGTAAAGATGTATAAATGTCACGCCCTGAGCCTACACCCTAGACATGGCCGGCACCCAATAATCATTGTTGGCCTTGAACGGACCCCTGAACTGGCTTACTTAACTCAGTGGAAGACTTAACTCAATATAAAACAAGGAGCATTCTCATAAAGATAACTTAAAATAAATGTCTTGGCCAAAATAGCACTTATGCAAATAATGAGAGATTCAAAACTAAACTATCAGACCGTCTACGTCTATGAAGCCTCTATAATACTGAAATGGATGTTGGACAGAACCCACAACATCCTATAAAGAAAAATTAAAAAGCATGTACTGTCCTCCAGAATGCAAGAAGGCTCACCACTGACTCTGAGTGCTCAACTGGATCAACGATGCACTGGATGATGCTGATCTTGGTTACCTACGTCTGCATCATGATACGATGCAGGCCAACAAAAATCAGTACATTGAATGTACGAATATGCGAGTTGGAATGCTAATAAAAACTTAATCTTGAAAAGAGTAACAAGAAACACTTACCTTGGCTCTGCTCGTCTCATGAGTAACTTAACTTAATATAAAGCACATAGACATATGCAATATACATAAAAGCTTGTAAGAACAATGAGAGACTTATTTAGTTAAAGAAAATGCAATAACAAACTATACATATATACATACATATATATATATATATATATACATATATATATATATATATATATATAAAGTAATATAGTTTTTGTGGGAGATTCTCTAACCACCACTATGAGCCTAAGTGGTGATACAACTTCTTGCCCACAATGCCAGAAATGTTCTATACTTTGCCGTCACATAGAACTCCTTAACTTAGTGGATCCACTAGCTTAATTTACTTGATCATCTAAAAAGTATGACCCGTTAATACCCATGATGACTACATGGTTTCATGGAGACTTGAGTTAATATGAATTCTCATCCCCATATCGGTGCTCAATACTACTCTCAAAATATACCTTAGCTCATACTTTTAAAATCAACTTCATCTTTGGGTTAAGATAATTGCTCAACACTTAGCTTTAAAAAGCTCTCTTGGAATCAATGTTCCCTTTTCTTACTCAAAACTCTTTTGGAAATCTTAGTTTCCTTTTATCTTAAATGTGAAAATATTTATAAATTCTTAGGGAATACTTAGTTTCCTTATAGCTTTTGAGAAATGAACTCAACTCTTTACTCTTTACTTAGCTTGAAACTTGAGTCTTAAATTAACTCTAGGAAATACTTAGTTCCCTTATATTTATTTGATAAAAACACTTTAACTCTTTACTCTTTACTTAACTTGAAACTTGAGCCTTAAATGAAGCTAAAACGTTTCATAAACACACTTGAAACTTTAAGAAACTTTGTTTTGCTTACTTATTTAACCTTTAGACTTAACTTCTTGGACTTTTATCTTAACTTTCCTTGAATTGAATTATGGATTCAAGGTTCATGATATCATATTTATGGATGATTTTATGATGTTTAATTGTACCTTAGAGTTTTAGTATCAACTAAGAAATGTGGGTACATCACTTAGGAACTAGTACAAAAAAATGGAGAATGAATGGGAAGAACTAGCGTCCTTGACGCTCTGAGAGGCGCATGGGGCCAGCCCTCAAACTTCAAAGATTTTCTTGTGGCGTACTGGCTGGCGTGACACGCCAGAGGCCAAAGTTCAGAGGAACCTTTTTTGGCGCTCTGGCAGGCGCGATGCCCCAAGCTTCTCCCAGAAAACTTTCGACTTTTCTCCTTCGTTTTCATCTTTAAATCCTCTAAACTTTCAAGATTTTACCCCCAAACACTTGGGATCATTAGTACCCTCAATACCCAATAGAATTAACTCGAAAACAACGTGAAAATACAAATCAAATCATCTCTAGGCATGCAACAACTCAACCAACAAGAATTCAACAATGTTCTTCAAGAACTGCACTTTCTATCATTCAACAACCTTAAAATCGCTGAATTTAAACAAGTAGGTGTGCGGGTGAAGTAACCCAACACGAAAAGATCTGACGTATCTTGATAGGAATCACCTCCGACGAATCTATTCGCAAAACTTTGGCGTTCATGGTAAATTCTTGACTTTTCTCGCTTTCCTTCTTCCTTTCTCTCTTCTTCAATCCGTAAGCGTAATTTTGATTTTCTAAAACTGAAATAAACTTGTTTTTACCCCATATAAATTCCTAAAATGAAATAGGAAATTAATTGGTAAAAAGACTAGTTTGACCTTCCTTGAATCCGGATTGGGGCCTTCCTCCAACAACGCAACTTCCGATAGGCATATTTTCCTCGTACAATATCAAAAATGCGCAAACTCAAAGGCATTGGAAATATCTCTCCAAGAGTTTTCCAACAATATCAAGAACTACCTCTAACTCATCCTGAGCTAGAGTTATGAACCGTTTGAAAAATGACCAAAATTCACTTTCTTAACTCAGGAAATTTTTCCAGAATTTTCCTTTTTTTTCCAAAAGTTATTATTTTTAGTTTCTTAGCTATTTTGAGTTACGAGATGTTACAAT